AAGTGTTGAAGGCTAACATAACAAGGTCGAGGTAGCACGCACGCACCTGCACCCATAGTACCCGAATGGTATTACCACAATGAATCATAAAGCATTCTGGTCTAGACTTAGAGTGCTCTTCAGTTGGTTATGTGTTCTAGATACGTCTGGCTCAGCAATCAAAGGCAACTGATGTGCATTTCGCGTAAGCGCCTACGCCAGTGGCTTTAATTCGCCACTAATGTGAGATTTTGCAGCAGTTTGCGTCGTAAAGTTAGAAGGACGCAGATAGTGCATGTTCCCCACTCCAGTCTGAGATCGTTTAAACATCCGTTTCGTCCTAACTCGTTTGCGAAATCACCTGTGCTGTTGTAGTTCATTTTCAGTCAATTCCATAAAAATCACACACTGCTCCTTGTTTTTGCCAGTAAATTTGTACTTCCTAAACCAAATAGAAACTTAAACTCAACTTAATGTGTATCGGAAAGGCACACCTGTGCTAAAAACTCAAATTCAAAGTTATTCCACGTGGAAAAACAATAATTAAGGTCATATGAGAGTTCCTCTTAAAGACCTATCTTGATTATAAGGCGCAATCTGGGAATTGCATTTTGTCTCTGAATTCCATTCGGCAGTCCTCGCGGGCTACCGCATAACAACGAGTATTTACTACTCGATATATGCTGCCGGAAAACCAGCAAAGGCCGAATTATCTGTCAGTGTTATTGTTGATGACAGAGTAAATGATGAACTGGGCCCAGTGTCGGGGTATGGTTTGGGTATGATGGAAATGGCCTTTCTGACCTATTGTATTTTTATAGTTTTATCTTTTTGTAACAAGAAATAGTTTAGCGGAACGTTCTAGCAACCCTTAAGTTGAGTTTAATCCTATATTTCTAGGTTCTGCTAGGCTGAAATGAAAACACTGTTGGTTACGTTTATGAGCTCGAAACGATAATTAGGAAGTTCTCCGCTTTATTTTATTTTGAATTTGTGATATGGTATCACTGAACACGAGAAAGTTGGCCACCGTACCAGCGAAAATATCCTGAAGTAAATTGACAGAATAACTTCCTAACTGCCTGGACTAGCATTTGAAGAGTTCAGTCGCTTCACTAAAGGAAACTAAATGACGGTGCCCGTATACGAACAAAATAAACAAAGGATAAAACGGTTGTTAATGTAAAAGTCCTAGTACTCAGGTTTTCGGAAGTAGAATAAAGTGAAGTGGATATTACTGCCTAATTGGTGTAATGACGCATGATTGGAGGACGATCACTGGTTGGTGTGGATCCGCCATATCGGCTGACAACGCCGCCACGTTGTACATCCTCTTCCAGAGCCTGACTGCTTAGACAACCAATGCGGCCAGCTGCAGCAGAATGGCGGTACTCCATACGTTCTGGAACGTCGATACCCAGATCACCTGTGCTTCGGCGGGCGCAGGAACAGATGCCAGACTTGTCCGCACAGGTGCATGCTCGGTGTCTTCGGTCGTCACTGAATTGGCTACGGATGAGAGCCAGCTGCGTTTACAGAAAGCAATACTTAGTGAAGGTAACCTTCCAGGCGTATGAAGCAGTATTTTTTACAAAGACAACGGGCATCTTAATGGACAACACACACATGCTCTCCGAGGTCTCGCAGAACGAACACCGTGAACATTTAAATGCGGTATATCAAATTCAGTTTAATTGTGTGTACCGTAGCTAGGAGATATTACTATGCACGTAGGTTCGAGGTGCAGCCATCATATCGTGTGCATCATCTCCCAAAGAGGAAGAAGAAGAGGGGGCAATTTCATGGACCGAACTATATTTGGACTGACATTTCAAAAGCTCGCGGCAAGGCGGACTCCTTCAAGGCCCAAGGAAGAGTAAGCACGGTACTCTGATGATAGGGGCGAGTGAGCTTTTGAAACGTCAGTCAAAATATACTTCGGTCCATAAAATTGCCCCCTCTTCCTCTTCGGGAGATGATTCACACGAGGAGATATTATATATAGCTCGTTCAAGATAGTTGTTTACGCAATCTGGAATATACTGGTATTAGCTAACCTTCTTAATAAGTGCCGAAAACGAAATCCTTTTGCCTACAAATTTTGTCCTTCTTCTTAAACTGATTTTCCACCGCGAAGCTTGGCTCTTTTCAATTCAGTTCATACAGAAACCACCACCGATTACCCACACATAATCAAAGGCAGTTTATTGCACTACATGTTCTCGTAAAATATTACTAAATATTCCATGTTTATATTTTAAAGATAAAGACGTCAACATTTAATCGGTATTTCGCTGTAACATAAGGAAGAGTTACTTGAATTTTGAACAAGGCAGAGACCACGAGACTAGCAGAATTTATTGATGTCATATAATTTAGCGATGTCCTATTCAACTGCAAATGGTTATTGCTGATTAATAAAATGAATTAACTGCCCAATTAAGTATCGAACTGGAAGGTTGAAACTTGATAGGTAAATAGAGTAGGAGCTATTATTCTTAGATGGGGGTGCATGGTGGGGGGGTAGAGGAGGGGCGAGGTAGTTATCGCAGCAAGGTAATTAATGTATGACGTCAACGAATTCTGCTAGCCTCGTGATCTTTGTCTTGTTCAAATTTCTTCCGGGAATACAGTATTTCAATTACTTGAATCTTTTCGAGCTAAGTCTTTCGAAGAATTAGTCTACGCTCTTTAAAAATTACCTCGAAATTTCAAAGCCCAAAATGTCAGACGGGACACTTAATATTGTAATAAGACACGAAATTAGTAGGGCTTAGAGTGACCTGTGACCACATTAATCTTTTTCTGCTATCAACAGAGCGGAGACCACCAATGACGTTTTACAAAGTTTAATTGCATTTATTTTTTTGCGAACTCATTATTTTCGTTCAATAGTGTGACAGTGCGCGGTTGGAAATTTTTCATTTTTATATGGACAGAACTCCGGGATGCTTGCAGTGATGTGCACAGTTTCGATGATGAAGAGTCAAAGCATATCCAACGAATTATATGTTTGTGGTGGCCACATAATTATGTTTGACGTACAGTACTTCTTGAAAAACCAAAAACTGGACTAAATGCCGTATGGCTTTCTGGGCTGATGTGTCTTCTGACTGCAGATTTCTTCCATTCTCCTCGCTGTCTTGATTGCTTTCCCCTTTTAGATCTTCTTAGACCGGAGGGTCAAGCTGCAATCGATCCCTGTAAATATGACCTCTACGACCCTCCCATTCGAGTTGGAAATGGTGCCGGCCCTGTCTCGTTTTTGTTTAAAAACTGGTCCATCGTGCGCGAATCAGGCATTTTTGACATGCAGATAATGCTGCGCTTGATCTCGCCTTCGATCTTTTTGACTCTGTTTTGAGATTAGGATCAAACGCATGCCGGATGAGAGAGTCTACGAAAGCCTACCATAATTTTAAACTAATTCCCACGTAATTCATCGTCTCTACACCTGACAGGACTTTGGGTAAATGGTGGACATGATCAATTGTGATGTGCGAATAGTCCTGGGAGGACATCGGTGGCGGTAGATCGCCTGTATTCCGATTGAGCACATGGGGCGAAGTAGGTTATTAGCCTGCGGGGTGTTGTCCTGCTGGAAAAGCTAGCTGCTCGTCTCTAGTCAACCTCAATGTTGTGGGCTGACTCAACAGCATACTTTCTATCCTAGTCTTTGTATAAATCGTAATATGATACTTGTTGAGCCAAGATGACACCAATGTGCGTGTCAGGAAACCGCGCCTCTGGTGTGGGCCCGTGACGGACAGCCAAAATTACTGTCCGGCTTCCTTGTCCAGTG